CATACAAATTGAATTCGATACTACATATGCATCATTTATCAAACCAATCTAATTTATTTAGACAAACTATAGTTTTTATAAGTATTGACATATATAAGAATATATTTAATAATTTTGATGTGTATTATTTATAACTACCTGTGGCCTGCAGCTTCGTCCACACGATGTCAAGATTAAAAGTAGCCTATGCTATGCCCGTCTATGTCAGCTACCCTTCAGTAAATCCGGTCAAAATCGGCACAGCTGTTTCAGGGTTTAAAAGGAACAATGCGGCTTGCGGATAGACAAACAGATAGACAAAGAATTTTTTAATGCGATTTTCATTATGAGCAACGCAAATACATCATCTTTCTGAAATCTGGAATTTATCTTTTAACATTACAGGCACTTCGATTTTATTCTATGTATTGATTCTCTTAATACTTTTGTATTTTAGTTATGTACATATATTGTAATACCAACGTTTGAAGACATTAATGCCAACTGGGAATGTAAAAATGTTATTTTAAAAACTTTGGTAATTTGACTTTGGTTAGACTGTTACGCAATCTATTTATCTAAACTATTATAATAAAGCGTCAACACATACTTTGTTGCCTAAGATGTCAGCAAATACAGCATATTTTTGATTAATTCTTTTTTTAATAAAAAGCCCAACACTTACGTCATGCTTTAGGCTATATATTTTCACGCCATTAAACTTAGGGGGTAAATATTTTATACAAAAACCCTAATGTGGGAAAGAGACCATAAGTTGCTGCCAACATCAAGAAAGGAAGATTGCTAAGGTTTGTTATGTCATCTCATTATGACAATAAAATAATATTTTCATAATTTCATGCGGATGAAGCCGCACGGGAACAGCTAGTATTCTATAACCTAAAACATTTCATAGTATTTCAAATGTAGCTAAAACAAAATATGAGTATAATGTACGCAATTTCCTAAGCTCCATTTCTCTACAACAGCCTCATTATATTCCATACGATGATCCACCGTCAATAGCAAACTCATTAAAACGTTCAGTTAAAAATAACGTCAAACGAGATTTTCATATAGAAAGGTCTTACAATAACGCGTGCCGATGTTCGCAGCAAATTACCTGTCAATATAAAATCCGTTCACGATATTGAGATATCTCCTCTGTTAGTATGTTAAAGAGATTTAAAGGGAGTTTTCTTGCAATTTCATTGGTTATTTCTTTAATGGATAGTTTCAAAATTGCGGAATCAATTCAGCTGGTTAACACCGTAACAGGAGAGATTGGTACGACGACGAAGAAATAGACAAATGTGGTGCATACATCTTTTCTTTCATAACTTAATGTAAGCAAAGGACGAAATAAAGCTTATTACATTGGAGCAATCTATTTTTTTTATTTATTGAGCGATTTCAGAGTTGGTCGCTAGTGACCCGATAAAAGGACAAGATAAATAGATAATTAAAATTCAAATGAAAAGAAAATTCGGCTCGTTGAACATACGTTCATTTCTATTTGTAAGTTAAACTAAAAAGTTACATACAAATTAGAGAAACTGCTATAATCGTAAAATTTTAGCATCATTTCATAAGCTGGACGAAATTACTTTTAGCGGGGTCTTTATTGTAACATATGCTTGCGATTACAATAGATTCTCGAATCGAATAAAAGATTTTGTGAACATGGGATATTTTAATTTTGTTGACTCCATTCAAAATTAGCTTAACTGTTTTACTTGAAAACAGTTTTTATTATCTATACTATTATAATAAAGCGTAAACACACTTCTTTATTGCCTAAGATGTCAGCAATTACAGCATATTTTTGTATAGTTCTTTTTTTTAATAAAAAACCCTACACTTTCGTCACGCTTTAGGCTATATATTTTCACGCTATTAAACTTAGGGGGTAAATGTTTTGGATAAAAATCCTAATGTGGAAAAGAGACCATAGGTTGCTGCCAAGATCAAGAAAGTAAGATTGCCAAGGTTTGTCATGTCGTGTCATTTTGACATTTACAAATGATAATTTGACAAAAGTAAAAATTAAAATAAGATTTTCATAATTGCATGCGGATGAAGCCGCACGCGAACAGCTAGTTAAGTAATAAGAACCAACCGATAAAGCGTATTGAAATATTTCTAGATTTATATACACTATCTTAGAACAACATATATACAACATTGGCCGGCAACGCATCTGTAGTTCCTCTGGTGTTGCGGATGTCCATGGGCGTCGTTGACCCTTCTCATATATACAACATTAAGATACTTATATGGAATGCTTTGTTCGTATGCTTGTTACCTTACAATTATCTACCTATATCTATACTTCTATACTAAATATAATAAAGCGTAAGCACACACTACTTTGTGGCTTAGGATGTCAGCAATCACAGCATATTTTTGCATAATTCTTTTTTTAAGAAAAATCCCTAACCTCACGACACGCTTTTGCTTTATATTTTCACGCTAATAAACGAAAAAAACCTTCGTATGGGCAAGGAACCATAAGGTACAAGCTGCCATCATTAAGGAAGCGAAGGTATTATGGTAACGGTAATTTTGACATTTGCAATTAAGAATTTGACAAATGTAAAGAACAATTGTTTTTTTTTTATAATTTCATTAGGATGAAGTAGCACGGGAACAGTTAGTATTTGATATACATAGTGTTTCACGGGACAATACACCTGAGTACGCCACGGTTAATTTCTGGTATCCCAATAATATGCTTGAATCTACATTGCATGTAGGTATATAATTTATGTTACCTGTTACGCTTCTCTAAATACAAATACATTATGTAAATTACATTGGTTAGCTTCGATATCTTCAACATATACATAATGTATGTCATCAATTTTGGCTCGGAACATAACCTAAATTACGGGTGAGTAGGCCTTAGTCAGCCACGCTGGGCTAAAAACACATTGGTACAGTCGGAAAAACTGGCGGTGTTCCACCAAAAAGATACAATCGTGTGAATGTTTAGAAACGAGATGAACAAAAACAATACAACGCAGCTCATAAATGTGTCTATACTTTTAAAAATCGGTTGGTGATATACGAATATATTTTTTTAATATTATCCCTTCCTTTGCACCACTCACTGCTTTCTAATTAGTTTTTTTTAAGAAGAGGTGGAGTTTGTCCCGTTGAAATGTACAAGGCAATTTACCTGAAGTGGAATACCGCTGATTTCCGCGACTTCACGACAAGAATCGGACAGAATTCCTGAGTTATCGATACACTTTTTAATGTTATTCAGACAAGCTGAATGCGCACGCACGTGATGCGAATTGCACCACGATTTTGGTCTTCACTGTAATAGTTACGTATTGTTGGTTGAGTAGTTTAACTATTCAAAACTATTAGTAATGCAGTTTTACAATAACTGAGATAGATTGATTAATTAAAACTAACCTATAAAAGATTTGGAAATATGCCAAAACGAAATTCTAATTATGAAATACTTTTAATTTAAAGATTGCCTTTATTGTCGATTTTTAATACAATTTTCTGTATTGATAAAATTAATACCAAGATTAGATTTTATTTAGGGGCAATCGTAATAAAAAGTAAACGTTGAAAAAAATACTAAAAATATGAGTCGAGTCCTTGATCAGTGAAAACATTTTTGGCTTTTTACTAATTAAAAAAAAATCATTTGAAATTCCGTGCACACATTTAACGATTGTGAGTGCTTGCATAGACTTATCTTTAAAAATGCAAAGAAAGCGAAACTTTTTTTTGTATTACTTTTTATCTGTGTCCTATTTCTTCAACGAATGTAACGTGTTGATCACAATCTTTACGAAAAGTACGCAATAAATACGTCCAACTTTGTCGTAGAACGGAACGTCGGTGTTCAGATTTATTCTTTCATCTGCTTCCGATAATAATTAATTACATTATAAAGATAAAATAATAATAATTTTCTGTTTCATGCTTCTCCTTTATATTAAATTGATAAAATAATACATAATAAAATATACTTCCATTCTCAAACGAGCAAAAGATTATTACGTCTCCTCACCAAAAATAAGCAACCAATAAAAAAAGCGCAAGAAACAAACGAGTACTTAATACGCTCAACAACGCAATGCAAGACAGACCTCAGCTCGTAAGAGAAAAAATAAAATGTCTAATTAAATTTTTACGTTTCAATTACATGGTTCTGAGATCCAATTAAAAAGTTCACAGCGTGCACTTGATAGCTTGTCGCCGAAGTACAATTTTATGGAATATAAAATTTTATAGACCACAAAAGTAAATCGAAAAGCCTTAAGTATTGGATAAACAACCATGTTTCTGTTAATTACAAATTTCAACCGATCCAAAATTAGGCCCAGTCTTAGAGCCTGCCAACTTGTCTGGTCACTGGTACCAACTGCCAAAGTCGCAGAATAACAAAAACACGACTATCTATTTTAATATAAAATAATAAAGCTTAAACACTTACTACTTCGTGGCGTAGGATGTCAGCAATTACAGCATATTTTTTTGAATAACTCTTTCTTTAACAAAAAATCGTACACTTAGATACGCTTTAGGACACATATTTTCACCTTGTCAACTTAGGGGGTAGATAAGTTGAAAACAACAAGGTTAGAAAGGGACCATAAAATACAAGCTGCCAACATTAAGGAAGCAAAAAGTTGTCATGGTGACGGTAT